GTATTTTTCAATACTAAGATCCTCCAATAATCCACAGGTTCATGTCTTCCTGTTTTTACTGTAAACATCGGGTTCCTGATTGGTGGGACAGGTGTTGTGAATGAAACGGTGCCCAGCTTGAAAGAGCTCCTGTACGATAGATAGATAGATAGATAGATAGATAGATAGATAGATAGATAGATAGATAGATAGATAGATAGATAGAGTCACACAGACTCTGCGGGTGACTCTGACGGGTGTCACTGTATCTCTGTCCCCGCGGGGGGGGGCCCCGTCCTGGCGGCTGGAGGGTGGTGCCCTGTTACACCCGGCCCCCTTTGAGCCCTGGGGAGCCGGGACAAAGCTGCTGTTAACACTCCTGACGGGGACCTTTGGGCCCTCTGAAAGTTTAATGTGACTCTGCCAGCGACCGGCGCTCGCTGAGGTCAGAGATGAGCGCCGTCCGGGGGGGGGGGGGGGGGGGGGGGGGGGGGGGGGGGGGCATCAGGTCCCGGGCCTGTTTTGTCCCCTGTGGCATGGCTAATGAGGCATCTGTCTCCACCTGCCGCACTGAGAGACGAGGCTCCCCGTCTCCTGAAAAGAGCACAGGTTACCGATCTGATTTGTCGGATCCGAGGCCGAGGAGCCCTAAATGTTTTATACCGCCGCCTTCTCATGGAACGCTCTTTATCTGAGACGGGATGTTTCTAAGGGTCTTATGTGAATGTCCTTTTTGCAGTGGAGCAATTCCACTTGTTCTGTGGTTTTAAAGAGATGCACAGTGGTTTAGCACTGACTTTACAGACCAGGAGACCCTCACCTGTGAGTCTTCAAAACATAAATTAAAATGCAATTGTAATTATTATGAGAACATGTGAGATACTATGAGATAAAAACGTCTTTCATCCGAGGACCACACTGTGACGGTAAACAAACTAAACTAACTTAAGGGTAACGCACTGCTAACTTTATGGAAGAAAGCCCAAAAAGGCCAAAATTGGTACTAAAATTATGACTATGATTTTGATTCATTTATAAAACAAGCCATGCTTATCTTACTTTGTACTAAAGCAGAAGTGTATTTTCTAACAAATGATTTTTATTAAACATTTACATTTATCTTAAGTTTGCATTTATAACTAAATTATATTACATTAAATCAAAAACTAAATTACAAATGATAAGACCAGTCCCATCTATCTGACTGCTACAAATTGTAATAAAGTGACACTTTATTATAGTACTTTTCTATATGGATGTTGTATTAAACTGAACGGAAAAAATGCTATTAATTCAAAATCAAATACATTTCCAGATATGTATAAAGATTTTTATACATATGAAGTTTTAACTACCCACAACAACATGTATTATAGATGTTTTCTTTCTCCTGGGCCGCTCCTTATCTGAGACTGGACGTGTCTAAGTGTCTGGTTAAGTGCATCTAGGAAATTACAAACAGCTCGATGACACGTGGGCGAGCATCACCAGAACTTCTGCAGCTTTGCGTGCTTGGATCGAGCCGGCGTGCACGTGAGAGCGGCGTGCACGTGAACGCCCGCTCTCCTCCGCCGGGCTCCTCTCCTGCGGCCTGGGCGGGGAGTTGGCCGCCGGGCCGAAAGGCGATCTCAGGGGGGTTTTGTTTTGGTGTAATCAGACAGCCACATCATCAATCATGAGGGGGGGGGAATTACAGCGGGTCACAAAGGGAGATAAGATAATGAGAGGGGCCACGGCGGCCCGGGGAGGAGCAGCTCGAGTTCCCGTCCTGATTACATGGCCTCGCTTCCACTCAGCCGGCCCAGGACCGAGGCTGCCCGATTCTGTTAGCTGGAAACCTGAGAATAAACCAGAGGAGACCAAACGTATAAAAATAACATTTACTGGACACAGCTAAAGTAATCATCGCTGGGCTCTCTCTCTGGGTCTCAGTGGACAAAGAGTCCTGAGATCTGGGTGATGGGCATTATCTCCTGGGCTCCATCCGCCTCCTCAAAGGAGGACTGGACACAACCAAGTCCTATTGGCCAGTTACCTCTGGGCACGAACAGGCCAGGTCCTAATTCATGCAGATGACATTGGAATGTGGTAACAAATGGTGTGTGTGTGTGTTGACCTAAAGATGTGTGTCTAATGCAACAGAGAGAGAAAAAGAGAGAAAAGAGAGTCTGTGGATATAGACAGAGACTTACTACACAAAAGTACAGTTGTAAAAGGAATAAGACAATCAGTAATTTACATAGATCATGTTATAGCATACAATGCTAAAGGGAGTAATGATAGCCAAATTCTAACAATTCCCAGATTAAAAAGATGTAAAAAAACAGACTCTATGTTGGAAACTGACCGACAGCAGACCCTTAAACAGCAGAGAGGGTCAAAGTCAAAGAGCCTCACTGTTAGAAAAAGGTTTTAAAAGGTTCTCAGTTCTTGTATTTGGACCAACAAGAGAACCAGGAACCAGTTTATTCTGATCAAAAAATCATTTCTGATTAAGTAGATTTTCAGTCTAAACATCTGCAAGAACAGCTGGCCTCGTTCAAACTCTGTTTTTTTTTTGGCTCGATCTTTTTTTTTTACCTTTGTTGGTTATTTCCTTACTCTGACTTCATTATTTTAGTCATGTTTATCTTAGTTTTCCCTGAATCTGCCCAACCTGATGCTTCTCCTCTCCTCTGCTCCACCATCCGTGGCGACTTTTCTTTAAATATTGGGAGAAAATTTGAAAAAGGTGGAGCACTTTTTAGATTTTCAGCTCATGTGCTGGTCATGGGGGTTAAATATACCAAAACCTTATCTTAAAAATGAAATAGATAAAGAAATCCTGGGGTTCTCGACAGGGCCAAAGCCTGATTAATCTAGAGAGACATCACTTCCTGCCTGTTGTTTAATCCTTAGAAACTAATCTTTATGTGTGCTGTAGAACAGTCAGTCACACTTATATGATTATTATTAGTTGTAATTTGTCAGGTGCTGGTTTCTGCCTGATTGTGAAGACCAGATTAAGACATGCACTGTGTTTGGTGTTGTTGTGAAAACCTCCCAGAGGATAGATTCTTAGTTTAGACCAAAGTGAGACCGAGGCCAATGATATCCCAGTTACTCTGGAGTTGTGAGTGTTTGTCCACAGTGGGAATAAAGGAGGATTTTCCACCAGGAAAAAATATCTTTGTATTTGTGCATTTTCTAAAGTGTCTTTTTTATTAATTTATTTACATTTCAAAAGAGATTCTGACTTTGTACTCCAATAGCCAATGAAAACAGACAAGGGTGTTTTTTCCTATCTTATCATGATAATAGATTGGCAATCTATCCTGTGAGAGTAAAATGGTCTCAGATTTTATGAAAGGGGCAATCAGGTCTTCTCAAATTTGAATTCTATCTATCTATCTATCTATCTATCTATCTATCTATCTATCTATCTATCTATCTATCTATCTATCTATCTATCTATCTATCTATCTATCTATCTATCTATCTATCTATCTATCTATCTATCTATCTATCACACCGGAGCTCTTTCAAGCTGGTCCCCGTTTCATTCACAACACCTGTCCCACCAACCAGGAACCAGAACCAGATGTTTACAGTAAAAACAGGATGATACCAACCTGTGGATTATCTGAGGATCTTAGCACTGAAAAATACTGTCAGTCAGTATTGTCAAATAATTTCTTTAAATTATTAAAGTATTTCTGATTCTGATTTTGAATGCCCAATAACAATTTACATTTACACATGGCACTATAGGACCAGTTTGATATAACACAATTTCTTATGATACATATAATTAGGGGGTCCCCATTCCATCTTGCCATCAGTTTGGGGTCCTTGGTCTGGAAAACCTTGAAGACCTCTGCTTAAAGGGTCTCTCTTGAAAAAGAGATTCTGAATCTCAACGGGACTTCCTGGTTAAATAAAGGTTCAAAAGGCAGTAAAAAAGAGATGAACTGAAACACCACCAGAGTTAACTGGACTGTGGATAAGTCAGTGTTAAAGTGGGAGAGTTGGAGTTGTATTCTTTTAAAAAACGGTTCCAATTTCCCACTGAAGACGTCGTATGAAAAAAGAATGCCCCCCCCCAATGGAAAGACAGCGTTTCATGCCTCCCTTCATGCTAACTCCTGGGTCCAGAGGCGTGGCGGCCGCTTATTGACGTGGATTTTCCGCCGCCGGCCTAACCCTAACCCTAACCCCTAACCCTAACCCGCCTGCAGGTGAGCCCCACGTTTCCCGCCATGTGTGGTGTACAATCTTAAAAGATGAGCGGCCCCCTCCTCAGCGCCGGGCTCTGGGCCTCATGACGTCCGGCCCAAACTCTCACTCCCTGACATGTGCCACAGCCCGCTAATCCTGCAGCATCACACCCCCCCCACCCCCCCCACCCCCCCCCCCCCCCCGCCCCGGGGGGGCCCCCGCGCTCCCCCCCTGCATGTGGTGCTACGTGTTATCTGATTATCTTATTCTGTCAAAGAAAACCACGAGGGAGGGCGGGGGTGGGGTGGGGGGGGTGGGGGGGGAGTTAGCTTCTTTACAATCTACATGCTGCTGCATGGAAATGAATTGTTCTCCAGAGGATTAAGACAGTTAGAGATTTGGATGTTCCAAGTTAATGTTTTTTCAAAAGAGAGGATGTGGATCATTTTAATTATGGCTGAGCCGATTAGAAAACAATACGACGCTCGGGTTTTAGGGCGGGAAAAGTGTGCCAGGAGAGGCATCTGCTGGAGTTAGCGGCTGTTGTGGCCATGACTCACACAGAGCAGCATCTGTGGCCCTCGGACACACATC